TATTATAGTTGGTTTTGTTGATATGGTAACTGATGCTATTGTTGTTATTATTATTATTATTATTAACAACAACAACAACAAGAAAAGGACAGAGAAGAATAAAACCCGAGAGAATCAGGTGATGCACAGTAAAACTGCTGACTACCCACTGACCAACACCCAGCCCACCCCAGAGCAGTGACCAGCAGCTCCTGGCCAACTTCCCCCGGTGCCACTGACCATGACATTCTGTGGTGTGGAATATCCCTCAGTGACCAGCAGCTCCTGGCCAACTTCCCCCGGTGCCACTGACCATGACATTCTGTGGTGTGGAATATCCCTCTGGCCAGTTTGGGTCTCCTGATGTTGGAACCACGGATGCTGAGAATTTTAAACTTTCTGTGCTGAAAGGCACAGACTCACAAGAGAACACTGCATTTGTCCCAAGGTTGTGAAGAAGGCTTCCAAAACTGATTAACAGCACTGGGATTACAGGTGTGTAGTTGATTAGAAGTGTATGATATCACAGGGTGGAAAACTTGGAGTTTGGGGTTTTAGAATATAGAGATAAATATGAAGGAAGATGGAGGTTTTAGGGCGGAGACAGATTGTTCTTGTTTACATTCTTCTCCATGGGTCTGGGTGGTGTTTTGTAATTGGACAGAAAAGTCCACACTGCAGGATTGGAGGGATCAGTTATTGGGTCAAAAGTGAAAATAATCTAGGTGTCATTTCTTAATTGGATAGTTTGGCCTTCAAAGACATTGTAACAAGAGATAGTTTTGTGCCTCGCTAATGAAAGACTGCAGAACTCATGGCTGTGAGGCTGCCGCACTGATAAGAAAAAATAAATACCTGAGTATTTATGAACATGAACTATCATCCCAAGTGCCTTCAATCCTGACCCCAACAGAGGCAGGAAAAAAAACAGAGAACCCACATTCTGCCTTCCTGTGCACCTGCTCACTGGTAGAATGTGAGACTGAAAGTCCTTGATTCAGGGTAAGAACTGCTTAGTACCAACCAAGACATCATGATTTTGTCAATATTAATCTCTTACTCAATCTGAAATACAGCACTGTACCAGCTGTTAGGAAGAAGATGAACTCTATCCCAGCTGAAGGTAGAACACATAAACTGTCATTAATAAACTTGCCCTTCTTGCAAACTCTCCTTTCAGCAGCAGTTGTAGATATGATCTCTTTCATCCTTTTGGTGTTCACAACATCACAGATGGTTTTGCATATGCTGTTTAAATATGTCCACTCTGTGGAATAATATTTGACCACCAGATCAACTACTGCAGAGAAGTCACAACTCACAGCTGGGGGCTGCCTCTCTACAGTGAAATTGCTCTGTCTTCATCCCACAACTCTTGGAACAATCCTATAGGCCCACATGGTCCTAAGACACTATTTGCAGCTTTTTGTCCTTGAGATAAGAACATATTATGACAACATAATATACTGATATATAATGATGCCAGAGGATGAAAAATCTTCTGGGATAGTGTTAGAGGGCCATAAATTCAGTACTGCAAGTCTGTCTCATCCTTAGGAGAGGTTTCTTTGGAATAATATGGACCCCACAAATGTGGCTTTTTTCAGAGTGATTTTGTTGGTTCACTCTAAAGGCAAACCTTACAGCAGTTGATGCTCAAGAAAACAGGACTTGGAATGGAAACTGGTTATGCAACAGAGAAATTCAAAATCCCTGGCACAGCAGAGCCCATCACTGATCACTTCACCAGTGGAGAGCTTGCATAGCAACTTCCATCTGTTGCTTGAGGCTAATTGTTTTATTCCTGTTCTTGTTTGGATGTTGGTGGGTACAAAACAGAATTGAGGTAACAAAGGAAGTGTGCAAGGCACTGGCCTGCAGGTTGACAGAGGGGATTATCCCAAGCCATGCCCTGGCTGTCACATCAAGCCCAAAGTTTGAAATAAAGGTTCAATGCAAATGGAAAACCCCATAAGACATGGTCTTATGCCACATAAACTGCAAGATGAAGAAGGACAAAAGTTCAAAAAATCCTGATTAAAGTCTTTTTCTTTTCAAAGAGAAATCTGAAATATGGACTTCCAGATCTGTATTTTAAACAGTCTTAATGACATCCAAGGACAAGGACTCTTGGGGGAAATGAGCAGATTGAGAAAGCAGTGGTGTAATGGACAAAGCAGTGGTACAATGGACAAAGCAGTAGTGCAATGCACAAAGCAGAGATGCAATGCACAAAGCAGCGGTGCAATGGACAAAGCAGTGGTGTGGATGGACAGAGTAGTGGTGAGGATGGACAAAGCAGTGGTGTACACGGGCACTACCACAGACATAAAAAAAGCAGAATTGTGTCCTGGCTCAGAGCATACACATTGTGTGACACAGGTGTTGATTCTGTGATTCAATGACCTGCAGCTTTTTGTAGCCTTACAGACAGTTTTAACTTATCATCCAACAGTAACCAAAGTGTGCAGCTTCTCCTTTAGGAGTTTTGAACTACTGGCTAATGAACTTCATTTTTCAAAATAGGTGCCAAATTTCCTATTTCCATTTGCGTGGCTGATGCTTGTAGTAATTAATTCTTGTTAGGCTGTTCTCCACTAGATGAAAGAGTTCTATTTTCTCCTCATTAACGCAAACATTTTGTAATCAATTCACCTCTCAGTCATCTTTTGAAAAGCAGGGCAGATTCAGTTCTTCAGGTCTCTCACAGGAAGGCATGTACTTCAGTGCTCTAATTATTCTTGTAACAACTTTTTGTATCCTTTCCAGTTTTCCCCAGACTAACAACCACATCGGGATGCAGTGCTCCTCTCTTGCAGTACAGAAGTAAAAAATAAAGTTAGTAAATAAATTTTAAAATCGTGTTTCTGCTCCTCTTCTATCACTACGCAGTACCAATCCCTACCAACATATATTACCTATGCATCCAATTTGAAGTCTCCACTGGCTGACTTCTGTATGAAAATGTCAGAATCAGTGAACAGGACATCATTCTACCTTCCTGTGCTCTGGCTTTCATTCCTCTTCCTAGATTGGCATTTGGATGTAGTGAGATTTCTTTTTGTCTATTTGGATGGGTGTAGGTAAGCCAGAGATATAAATTGTTCCATGTGACAGCTTCAGCCTCACAGTTCTGCATCATTCAGTCAAGCTTTAGGGCACCTGGAAACCATACTGTCATTTAAAAAAAACCACTTAACTGCAAGTGGAATTATGCTGGAGTGAGTGGGAAGGGTAAGGAAACATCTTTCCCCCTTTCTGCTTCATTAGAGTGTGAATATCTATGCATGACTGAGAGCTAGGAAGGACTGAAACATGGTCAATTTCAGAAAAAATCCCATAGTTGTCCTCATTTAATACTGATCTTCCTCCAGGAGCATTCTGCCTCTCTCCCTCTCTCCAAACTTTCACCATGTCTTGCAAATATCCAATTATTAGCAAGGAAATAAGGCACTGTGTAGGTCACAGGCAATAAATCCCTACATTTCACAGGAAAAGGAAAAAAAATCTGTACATGAAACCAGGATTTTTTTAAAATATAGAATAAGAATAAAAAATAGTTGACAGATTCAGGTCTTGTAGTGACAGAAGTGGTTCATTAGAAAGGTTATAAGGCCCACTGGGATGCATCTGTAGGAGAATAAGTGATTTAAAACAATGGTTTTCTTTGATTTCATGCAACATCCATAACCAAATAAATAAGTAAAATGCAAAGGTTATTTATTTAATTTTATTATCTTTATTTTTTATGGAAAATTCCTGAAGTATGGTGCTTTCTTCTGCTGTCACACATATATTCTAATGGCATTTTAGTTTTACTGCAGTGCAGCATGAATTCTTCTGCCTACATGCGTTCAGCAACAAATACAAAACAGGCCAGATCTGCAATAAAGCCACTCTCCCAACCACATCTGACTCTTGTATTTACAGCAGAATTTCCTTCAAAGCAAGCAGGCTCAAAAGACTGAATCTAATTTTCTCATATCACTTGGAGAGTATAATGCTCCAGTGCCCACATTTTGAGGAAAACAAATTTCAAAGATTTTCTAGCACAGATCAACCCACATATTTAAATAGTACAATTGAATAATGGAATAGTTAACAATTCAGATGTAAACGAGTTTGCAATAAGCTTTGCAGAGGATAGGCTCACACAAGTACATTCACAAATACAAATTATTTTCTGCATCGACGAACTTTGCTTCTGTAGATTTATGGTAAACCTTGAATGTTTCTCTAGGGCTCTTTGATTTCAGGAGAGACAAAATAAATAGAGAAATAAAAGAGGAGAGCAGTCCTGTTTCCTCTCAGCATGCAGCTCCAAATCTTTTGTGTTTTGCTTTATGACAGAAGTTACTTGTCACTGACATAAACTGGACATAGAGCACCAAGAGCTGAATAATTCTGCCTGTAAGACCTCCTAGCCTCACCAGTTTGAATTTGGCAGTATGGTGCCAATAATTAACCTTGGTTATGTAATATCCTTTGGAAGGTGGGTTATAATGACATTGCCATGATGATATGGAAGTTAGCAACATTACACAGAGAGCTGACATGAAAAAGGGCTGACAGATTAATAATTTAGCCTATTTTCCACCTGTAGATGCATCTTTCTGCCAGCCTTGTCTAAGTTATATGCACTCCAGATGAACAAACAGCACAATCAATAAATACTTTCCAGTGAATGTGCTCCATTATTTCAAAATCTCTTATCATTGTCAGGTTTCTATCCTTGTTTCATACTGGAGACCTTTTTTTTCTTACATTCATTCCACTAAAGCTATAGGATGCTTTTATGAGGTTTAGCTGACTGAAGATGAAAACATTAATGGCTCAAAAGTTGCTTGCAATTGTGTATAGGACAACTTGTCCAGAATTTCATAATCTGGCTAACAATCTCCTTGGAAGCACGTCTGGTAACGTTTAATACTGTTTATTAGGATTGTCTTTTATTTCCTCCGAAGTTTTCAACTCACAGCAAATATTTTTTTGTTATTATAAAGCAGTACTTGTTTTTTTTTTTTTTTTTTTTTATCTAGAAGACAAAGAAAGGAAAAAAATGAAAGCAGTAGGAATGCTAATCTTAATTTCCAATTCCCGTTTCCTGTTGTACTTGTGTATATGTGAAAGAACTTCAGCTGTTGACTTGCACTTTTAAAATAGGTCAAGAAGGGAAATGTTTGTTTTCTGGTTTGAAGCTTGAAACAGAGCTAAAACCCAGCTTTTCATTTAATCCTTGGGTTTCTTCCACACCTCCTGTGTGACCCTGGAGAGCTGCTGTAGGGTGCAGGAGGTGAATGAGCAATGACAGACTTGACTGTGTCAATGTCAGAGAGGCACCTCCATCCTCATGGAGAGTGTGCCACCAGTCCTTGACCTCTGCAGAGCTTGGTGGGTGAATGGCCATGACATTGCAAAGGAGCTGTAAAGAAAAATAGTCTCTACCTAAAGAAAAGTGTTCATTTCCCAGATCAGGACAACTGAATTAGGAATATCTACTTAACTCTGCCTGGAAATATTGTTCACTTTCTCTGTGAGTGAAACACAGGATGCTTTTTGTTGCTAAATCAATCAGACCATGGCCAAGGCACAAGTGGGGAACAACTAGCACTTCAGAATAAATATCGCAGGTAAATTTGTGTTACAGCTTTCAGGTGTTGCAGGGTACTTGAAAGACTCAGAAGTGGCTAATTACTGATGGTAATACCAGTACACCCACATCTAGACTAAGTCCTTGTCATGGGGGACACTGCTCTCATCTCCAGCAGTACCAAAGAAATCTCTACCTGAATCCAACTTGCTCATCTGTCTACTTCTTTTCTAAGCTCTGTATCATATTTGAGCATGATGTCAGCAGAAGATTGGAGGGCTGATTAAAATAATTCATGTTTTATTTGAGCCACAATGATCACACCAACATTAGAATCCTTAAAATTCAAGATGTGTTGATTTCGGACAGCATAAAAAAATTAAAAAAAAAATAATAATATCTTTTCGAGAGAGGTGTTTGTGTCTAAAGGAATGCAAGGGCTTGTGGAGAGGCTCTGATATTTCAAAAAGAAATTGTTTTCTGTTTTTGAGAGAATGCATTCTGCTGCATAGTAGAAGATATCATGCCCTTTCTTTTCATCATGCAGAAAGTCTATTTAAGTTTAATTCACCCATGCAAATATTTAAGTGAGGCTTGAAAGCAATTATTTTGGGGCATTTATTCATATTCAATTTTTTCCTTATAAACTTTGTGGATTTCTTCTGAATAAAGGAATGCCTGCAGTAAGCACATATGCACAGGGAGTCTGAAAGAAAGAATAACAGGTGAGAAAAATTTCAGTGGAAAGCATCCAACATTCTCATCTGAAATACTTGTGTGCATGATTATTTCTTGTTTAGCACCTACCTTCATGGTTAGTCCTCTCTTTTTAGAGAAGAATAGAGAATAATTTCCTAGAAAGGAAAAAGCACAGAAGATAATTCCCTCTAGAATAGAAACATGTGTTGCCTTCTCTAATTTTTGACTGTCACAGTGAGAGATTTGTTATAAAACAGCAATAGCTTTTCTGAAAAGTTGGAAAGGGAAAAAAGAGGCAGTAAAAAGCACAGGTAGAGTCTAAATATTTTGATTAGATTAGATACTTCTTTCTATGCATGAATAATGAATCAAAAAGAAAAGCAAGTAGGAAAGCTGGCAAAGCAGCAGCTGGCTCCCAACACTGTGTGCAAGTCATGGAGCACAACTTTCTCTGATGGACTACGTGGAAGGAAAGTTCCTTCTGAGCTGAGCGAAAGAGGAAGAAATTTTTGAAATTAACTGGAGCAAGCTTTAAGGACAGAGGGTGATAATCAAACTTTAAAGGACACAGGCATCAAGAGAAAACCACAATCTGGGTAATCCTTTTATCTGTAGTGAAATTGTCCCCCAGATCATTGGTGCTGGACTGATGGGACCCCTCACTGCTGGTCACAGCCTGGACTGGGGCAGGAGGCTGGACACCACAGCAGTGAGGATCACAGCCTGGACACCACAGCAGTGAGGATCCCACAGCCTGGACACCACAGCAGGAATGAGGATCACTGCATGGACACCCCCAGCAGCGAGGATCACCCACAGCAACCACAGGCAAAGAGGAAACAGATGCTTTGCATGGAACAGCCGGAGTGATTTCATGTGTTCACTCATCAGCCTACAAGCCATACCACACTACTCATTCCTTTAAAGCAAATATAATACTGAAAGGAAAAAATCCTAGAGCTTTTAAAATGTACCAGGGTGCAGAAGAGAGCTGTCAGAGGCCATGACTGCACATTCACAGGTCTTCTTCATCTTTCTGTATCAACAGTTAATTGCTTTTACCTCCTACTGTTATCTCCCTCTTTCAGACCACAAAAGCATAAGACTATTAGTTAAGAATCTTGCCGCCTGGAACTATTTTCATCTGAGGAATCTCCTGAGACTGACATGGTTTTCCATTTAGGAACACCTTTGATACATCTCTAACAGCATTTGAAAAATTCTCTTTGTTTATTTTCCACCTGAACCTTTTTAAATTAAATTGAAATTAAATTAGAGAAGATTTAAAGATTTTTTTTTTTCTCTTGGTTGAGTCATTCAAAAGATACTCTCCATTCTGCTACACTGATTTGGTAATGCAAACTTCACAGTTCAACTTTCAGAAGTTCTTGGTTGACTTCAGAACCTGAAACAACTTGTTTTGCTTGAATAACAGAGCTCCTTACATGTGTACTGGAAGTGGGACTGCAAACAGTGTTTCCCAAGGCTTCTTTTCTCTCTAAATATGCTGCTCTTGTCATCTGTCTGCTCAGTCTAAACCAGACTGCGTATTTTTTGTTTCTGGAGGAGGGTCATATTTAGAAAGATTCTTCTTTTCGGTGCTGAAAAACAAGCAAAAATTTTAGTTAATCAGCTGAACTATTGTGGGGTAACATGATGGAAAATGCTTATGGAAATCCAGAATGAAAAGATTCTTTCTGTCCCAGCCAGTGAGAAAACCAATATTACAGTGGCACAGCCATTGCTCACAACTTCAAAGTTATTTGTTCTGAGCAGATTGAAGAAAGATTACTTTATCTGATACACAGCTGTTTGAAGATTGCTTTATCTAAACTTTATTTAAATTGCTTCTTCCTCAAACCCAAGGAAACAGACCTGCACAAGTCAGAAAGGGGGGTGAAATTTTTACCTATCATATCCAGATTCCTCATAGTCGTCAAAGAGTTGCTTAATTTAACCTGTTGCTAAATCAGTGTGAAACTCTGAAGGGATGGTAACAGAACCTTAAAAATTAAAAAAATGCTGAGAAGAAAGTCAGTAGAACACAACTCTTGTAAGAATTCCTGTTCTTGCATCCCTGGGACTTCATAGCAAAACCTGTCTGTTACTGTGATGAAAGCTGACAGGTTTTCTACCAGCATCACTCTTTTCTCATTAGATTTACAGGGAAAGGTTGAGTTTTGGTAATCTTCTAAAAGATCTCCTGTAACATTTCAAGGCTAGAAGTGAATGACAACTGACAAAAATTGATCATTAATACAAATCAAAGTCAATGAAGAATCAAAAGTGGAAATAAAGAAATCCCAAAGTGACAGGGCTTCCTCAAAGACATTGAAACCACTACTGGCAGCACTGGTCTCCTAATCCTTCTTAATATTTTCTCCACTTTGAATGAATCAACTTTGTATTTGCTTTCAATTATTTCCTACTGGCTGTATTATTAATTTATTAACATTATGTATTATTTATATATATTAATTATTGATAATAACTAATTTATTAATAGTGTTTTCTCTGTGAAAAATTGCAGTAAATCAATATTCAACTTAAACACATGACAAAAAAATATTTGTGAATGGAATAGTAAGCCCAAAGAAATTAATATTAGGAAGCAACTATTAAAAGGTATTTAGTGTTTAATAATTAAATGCATGAATTGTTTATTCGCAACAAAATTCACTCACAAAGCAATTCCTTTGATTAAATTTTTACTTTGGTTGGGTCCACATAGCAGTCCCAATGCTTTTCATGTAGTAATCTAACACAGCTCACAGGTCCAATACTGCAGTGAGCTGCTCATGAACAATTTATTAATCACTTTGCAAGATCATACACACACTATTGAGAAAAACACATATATGTTTCTTAGTTTATTGGTTATAAATTATTCTCCCACTTGTATTTCAGATGCTTTACATCACCAGGCACACTGATAGTTACATTTTTTGTCAGAATTTCTTTTTTGCTTCAGATATATTATATACAACCTTCAGATTAATTTCTTAAATTCTTGAGTCCTGCCACTATTACCGCTGTACCAGCTCCAGGCATGTACAGAGTGGTTTAATGGTAATTTAGGTTTTTCCCTGACATCCTGAAAAATAAACTCCTCTATTATTCATATGGCTTAGTGCGGCATGGAAGGAATGCTACAATCCTCCTGAACAGTCCAGCAAGAGATGAAGGGATAATTCCTTCATTTTCAGTCTCTTTTCCTAAATAATTTTGGTGACACTTCCAGAGTCCAGTATCTGATGTGAAAGTGGTTTGTGTTGTGGTCACTGAGAGGAAAGTCAACTTTAGCAGTTATTTAAGTCCTCAATGGTTTTCATTCTCCACCAGTATGGACTGAATTGGATCAATGAACCTCATTTTGGCTCTTGCACTGAGGGTAAAGGTTGTAGGTAAAGTAGATAAGGTGGGGTACTCTCAGAGTTTTCTTCTATGAGAGGTGAATCAAATTAGCCCATTTTGGCAATTTATTTAAGCACCAAAATACTTTGTGTGCTTGTGTATTTGGGAGCTGGCAGAACTGAAGTCCACATACCGATAACATTCTCATTTATTATATATCTTATTTATTTCTGTAGGCAACACTTTAAACAAGATAAAAGGTTCAATTCAATCTCAGGGCATGTGCACAGGTATCCTCCACCCCTTCCCTCTTCTTCCCCAGTGACTTAATTTACTTTTTAAACCAGAACAAACTGCAAACCAGAAAGGGCTGCTGATACTTTGAAAAGGAGGTGAACAAAGCAAGGAGGATCCTCGAGGCAGCCTGAAGCAACCTGTGATGGGAGATCTGAGCAACAGAAAGGACGTGGCTAGATGGGACTTGAGCCTTTGAAGCTGTGACCCCATGACATTCCTGTGCCTCTCAACCATGTGTATTTCCTCTTAACTCCTGGCATGGATTCCTTTTACATCTCTTACACTTTTCCTTAAAACAAACCCCTACAACTGATTTTTTTATTACCACCCCAAGAGCAGTCAAAAGTGCCTGAAATGTAATGCAGCATTTTGTTAAGCCTGCAAATGGAATAGTGATTATGTGGAGCCAAATGCTGTGGCCAGGTCTGGTTTGCCCCTTTCAGATATGAGTAGAGAACGTTTTCCTCACATGCTAATGTGTTGTGTTGGAACTTCAGGCTTGATCTTGATTAGCACTTAAAGGTAAATTACTGGAAATATTAGCAGAGGCATAAACAACTGCTGGATTCTGCACCTGGGGCAGGGAACCTGGATGTGTGGACAGACTGGGGAATGAGATGCTGGAGGGCAATGCCACAGAGAGGGTCCTGGTTGAGGGCAAGTTAAACATGAGCCAGCAGTGTCCTGGCAGCCAGGAGGGACATCCCTGTCCTGGGGGGCATCAGGGACAGCATGGCCAGCTGGGCAAGAGAGGGGATTGTCCTTCCTGCTCTGCTGCAATCAGGTGGCGTCACCTTGAGTCCTGGAGGGCAGTTTTGGGCACCGCAATATAAAAATGATATAAAGCTATGATAGAACATCTAAAGGAGGGCAATAAAGTGCCACGAGGAGAAGCCATATGAGGAGTGGCTGAGGTCACTTGGTCTGTTCAGCCTGGAGAAGAGGAGACTGAGGGGATGCCTCCTTGCAGTTACACCTTCCTGATAAGGGGAAGAGGAGGGGCAGGCACTCCTCTCTGGTGAAAACTGACAGGACCCTAGGGAGTGGCCTGAAGTGGAGCCAGGGGAAGTTTAGGTTGGGTATTAGAGAAAGGTTCATTATCCAGGTGGTGTTTGGGCATTGGAACAGGCTCCCCAGGGAAGTGGTCACAGCCCCAAGCCTGACAAAGTTCAAGAAACACTTGGACAGTGCTCCCAGGCACATGGTGGGACTGTTGGGGTGTCCTGTGCAGGGCCAGGAGTATTCTATTTTCTGTGCTCCATGATTATATAGAGGAGCCCTGAGGAGCCCTGCTCAGAAGGCAGCACACAGGCAAAGCACAGTCTCCACTCTGCAAAGTGCTGCAGGGCCAGCCTCAGTTCTGTGAATCCTGACACTGGGGAAGAGCTGGGCTCACAGGTAGCTGGAGGAGAGAGGCGCTGGCAAGCCTAAAGATGATGCAGAGGTTGAAGCAGAGACTGAATCAGAAAAGTCAAAGTGGCAGATCTTAATTGAACTTGCTTATGATTTATACTGAAGTTTTCCCATGGTGAAACATCCAGCCCCTCTCCACTCACATGCTGCACTCCTTCCTTGCATGCTCTGTTTAGCAATGAAGTCACTGACCTTTTCATTGTCCTCATGATGCTTCCAAGTGCTGAATGTGGGCTGTTTTCATCTCCCAAATGCTGGCAGTCCTCTTCTTGTTATTAACTGTTTTGGGTTCATAGAAATTTTATAAGTCCACTTCTGGAGGCAAGGAATCAGTGAAAGAGGATAAAAGGTTTTAGAATAAACTATTAGGAGATTACTGTGAAAAAAATATTAAGTGGGAACCTAGATTTTGGCACAGGAAAGAATCACACAGGAAGAATCCTTCCTCAGGGCAGGTGCAGGCTCATCCATGCTACTGGATAATGGTTTCCTGACATAAAATGATTTATTCTCCAAGATTTACACCATGTTGGGATTCCTCATCGTCTCATGCTTTATCTCCTGAAGACATTGTACTCAAGAACAGCTTCAGAAGTTCCTGGATCCTATTGGGTTTTTCCTGATTTCTAGCTTTGGATTTGTCTGTGGAGAGGCATAAAAGTCAGAGAGTGTATTTTTCATCTATTTTAAAGGAGATACTAAGGAGAAAAGCAGTAATTAGAGTATAATATCCCTGTGATGTGAGAGAAAAAAAGACAGAATATATCTTAAAAAAAGAAAAAAGCTCTAAACATGCTCTAGAGCTGTCATGCAAAACAAAAAACGAAAGCATTTCCATTATGTAAGCTACATCAGAGAACACTGCCAGTAAAATGTTTTTCTCATTGCTTTTTCACCAGGAGGTGGGGCTGTTAAGCATGGGATTTATTTGGTGATGCACTGAAAAAATGTGGATAGAATGAAAATCATCTTTCTTTTCCTTTTTCCTCTGAAACTCATTGTGTAAATGTGAATGAAAAGCATGAACTTTCTAGATATTTTAAGCATTGATTTAATATTCTGATTCAAAAACCGAAATAACTTTAAAAATGATTTTGCAATGGTTTAAATGAACTGCCTCTGGGAGTGAATTAAGTACCAATAGCTAATTAAAATATTAACTTGGGACACTGGAAAACTCATGAGGTTTGTAATTATTACTATTCTCAAGTCCCTATTGTGTCTATTTCTAGGATAGCTCTGCAATTCACTTTCGAGGCTTAAGTCACAAAAAGAAATCACAGGACATTGCAATGCTGTTAATTGCATAATAAAATGATAAACACATTTAAGGTCACTTGATTCTAATTCTGACAAATTGCCACAAGGGATGAAAGCAGCTTGTCTAAAGTGAAGAGCCTGAACTGGGGGAATTGCTTATTTTTGGTGCTTCCATGGCTCCTGCTTCATCATGTCTGAGGAAGAAGCTGCAGATCCCATTGGGATGAGAAGATGCAGACAAAGGAAGAAAACATGTGACAGAGCAAGGGATCAGGTGCAGGCCCAAACCCTCACCTTGTGCCCCAGCCACTGAGCCAAGATGCTTTAATGACAGTTCCATTGCCCCTCTTCATTATCAGAAGGGACATGTAAATGTTGAAGAGGCACTTCCCCATAAAAGATGTGTGAAGGACATATTGTCACTGGACAGATTTGCAGCTAGGAATTTTTTTTGCAGCTATCATAATTTAAAGGGATTCTTTTCCCCATCATGCTGTGTTGCAAGCTCTCACCTAATATATCAGGAAATTTTGTTATCACACGATGCAGATCTGCTTCTGCACCTGCCAAGGAAACACTTCTGATAGACATCTCCAGAGATTGTCTGTCCTTTCCCTGTCCTCCACCTTCCATGAAAGGCGTCCCTGCACATGGAGCTAAGGCTGGATTAGATGGTCTTTGAACTCCCATCCAACCTAAACCATTATATGATTCTAGGATTCAAAAATACCCTGGGTACAGCCCACCCTGAAACAGAGCTGAAGACCTGAAGTCCACGCAGTGAATCTCAATCCACATCCACCTCAGGCATTCCCAGTGTCCTTACCTGGCCAAAAGACTTTAGCTGCATCCCCAAATCACCATTTACTGGCCCTGACCTGCTCAGTAGCAAAGTCACTGTCAGGAGCTGACAGGCTCAGAGAAAACCATCAGGACACATTTACCAGGGGGATGTGACACAGTCACCAGGCGAGTGAAGTCAGGATTGCATCCGGCCACTGGAGAGATGGAGTTCAGGGGTAGTGGCAGATCTTTGTGTCCTGTGGCAGGCACAGCTTCTGCCAGCTCATCCAAAAGCTTCCTCCCACTCACAGCACAGCACAGCACTTCCCTCTCCTCCAAGATGACTCATGCTGTGTTCACTTCCATCCACAACCCAGTGCCTGCCAGGCACCAGGAATAAAGCGCAGGAATGTGGCCTGGGGTGTCCTGGTGAGATCTATCTGCAGTGCATGGAGGGCACTGCGCTGAAGTCTCAGGAATTTGCTCTCCTCCATGACTTCATCTAGGCCCCAAACAAGATGGAAACCCATGAGCAAGAGGGCTTTTGTTATAGCCAGCTTTCTTGTGTTGTGCCAAAACTGAAAACTTCAAAGCTTTCAACCCCAATATATTTTGAAAGCATTCAGCACATATTTGTGACCAATGGTTTCAAAAATTAACAATAAAAAACTCAAATAAGGGGGATACCTTATTCCCATCCATAAGCAGAGAGCATGAAGTAGGCAATAGTTAATGTCTCTCAGTATTAGGAAGGGACTCTGCAGTACATAAGTTTCAATTTTTGGACTCACAAATCACAAATTTCATACTTTAGTGGGCAAATATTTCCTTTTTTATCTCAGATTGATCACCCCACACTATTTCTAAATGCCCTATTGACATACAGATGCTGTTAATACCCACTGCCATAATGTGCTGGTGGTGCAGAGTCACAGACCTTGAATCACAGAATTGTTAGGGTTGCAGGGGACCTTTAGAGATCACCCGGTGGGACATCCCTGCCAAGGCAGGGTCACCTAGAGCAGGTTATTCCCACAGGAATGCATCCAGGTGGGTTTTGAATGTCCCAGAGAGGGAGACTCCATGACCTCTGTGAGCGACCTGTCCCAGTGGTCTGCCATCTTTGGTCGATGTAAGGAACTTTTTCCTCATGTTGAAGTGAAATTTCTGTTCTAGCTTAAGACCATTGGTCCTTGTCCCGTCCCTGGGCACCACTGAAAAGAGTCAGGCTCCATCCTCTTGGCACCTGCTGTCGCAGACATCTTTTGTGAAAATCTTTTCTTAGGATTTTTTTCTCTTCTAAGAAGCTGAGGCCTCAGAAACAAAATGTAAAAAATGGTTATCTGCTGCTGTGGAATGCATCAGGTAGATTTTTGATTGCCCCATCTTGGATGTTTATAATTAACAGCCAATCAAGGCCAAGCTCTCTTGGACAGAGTCTGAGAGAGCTGCCTTTTGTTATCATTCTTTTCTATTCTATTCTTAGCTAGCCGTCTGAGATGAACCTTTCCCTTCTATTTTTTTTTAGTACAGTTATAATGTAATATATATATATCATAAATAAATCAAGCTTTCGTGAACATGGAGTCAACATTTTTGTCTCTTCCCTCATCCAAGAACCCCTGTGACCACTGTCACACCTGCCTTGGAGAAATTTGTATGCATTGATGAGATCTCCTCTCAGTCTTCTCTTCTCCAGACTGAATAGCCCAGATCCTGCAGTCTCTTCCCATAAGAGAGATGCTCCAATCCTTTAATCACTTTTTCAGACCCTCTCCAGTGACTTCTTGTCTCTCTTGCACTGAGGATCCCAGTCTCACTCACCAGGGCTGAGTAGAGGGGCAGGATCACTTCTGTTGGCTTGCTGGCATTGCTCTTCCTGATGCAGACACCTGAAAATATTTAATGCTGTGTTTGGGAAGCACCAGCACCATAAAATCCTGGTAGACCTCTGTGAGTGCCCACTCCTTGATGTCAAGGCACAGAGCACAGTCTGTACAGGTCAACAACAGAGCAAGGTCAGGACTTACTGACATACCAGAACATCTTGAAGACTTTGACCAGAAAAAATGTAGATTAATCTGTCCAGATAATAAATGCCTATCATAAAACACACTGGACTGGTGGGAGGTCAAAGTCATAGGTTATTCTGGGGAGGGGAGATAATATTGCAGTGTGATATAAAAGCTGCAGATGGGAGTTTTACTGTGGCTTCAATGTGGCCAAAATATCATCCTACAGCACTGAACCCTTAAGTTAGAAGTTTTGGGTATAGCACATACTCAATTCATCATTGTGAACTTCTCTTCTCCTTACCTGAAATAGGGCAAAATAACTGATTTATTATTTTATGATTTAACTATTATGAGTTATTAATTCCTTGGTTATCATTAGTCTTTTTTTTGTTGTTGTTGTTTCTTCACATGTTCAATACAGTAAACCCAGTAAAATCAGAACCTATTTTAGTTTCCATGAACTTTCTTTTTTCCCCTTAGCCAGCAGCATCTTCCCAGTCTTAAAACTTTGCTTTACCTCTGGCTAAAATTTCACACTCATTTAGTATTAAAATTTGACAAACTGGAACATTAAAGTGGAATTATCATGTAGTCTGAGGCTACAGTTTAATCTACTATAAAGCTGACTCAATCTGGTAGGAAATGTCTTGTGGTAGATTTACTCTCTGTGCTTAAAATATTTCTTCGTTACTTACAGCTTAAATAATTAACCACACTTTATGCTTGACATTGCAATATTCTTCTTTGCATACAGACAGGGCTGAACTGATTTGATTGTGGCATCTTATGGGCAAAACTGCTGTTTTTCTGCCTTACACATGACTGAGAAAATTAACAGGTAAAAGCAATAATATAATGAATCTCAATCAGGCAAGAGAAGGAGTGTGAGGTATAAGCAAATATTTGCATCCTGATTTTGATTTGAATCTATTATTTTTTGTGGTGGAAATAAGAGAAGAAAACAAATGAGCTGTCACATCTGAAACCTTCACATGGAAATGTTCACAACCTTTGCTCAACACAGACTTTGGTCCCACCAATGAGCTATTGGAATTCCTAGCACCTTTGTCTCAGTAATGAAATAGGGCAGTAGATGTCCATAAATTCCCAACAGTCATGTTGCATTTACTTCAAGTATCTTTTGAGCACCAACATTTGCAAATATAGATTGGAATTAATCTATGAATTGGGGTGGGATGGTTGGGTTCAAGGTTTGGTCAGGTTGCTTTTGTTTTCTTTGTGCCAAAAAGCACAAATCTGTTTCAAGCAAATTTTCTCCCCAGTTTGAGGTTGAGTGTAATATCAAGAACTATGAAAGAGCCAACAAAAAGCCCAGCTATGATGAGTTTTGCTGGATGCAGAACATTGATTCATTGATTGAAAGGTGGCATCCTCAGCCAAAAGAAAATTAAAATGACAAAAAGTGTACCAGAGTTATTTTAAACATTTTTACAGAGTACCAGTAACGAAGAAAAAATTATGCACCCTACAAAGGTAGTAGTAGAAAATGTGCTGGTGAGCAGGAGTCCAAGTTCAGTTTAATTTCCTTTTGGAGTCCATAAAGTTAGAGGGCTTTTAGGAAATGGTTAAAAAAGTATAGGCCTCAGACTGAAGTTTTGTTAGCATTGCAAATACAGCAGAAAAGTTTCCCAAGCAGTAGAGCATGCGTGACAAATAACAATAGGCCTCTGTAGAATTGGCTTAAAGATGGCAAAAAGGTTATTTAATGTATATCTTTAGAAGGTTAGCATGAATAGAGCTCTGTTCTTTGTCTCTTATGAACCAGTCTTTGTTTTAACTACCATTAGGTGTGTTTTGTAAGATTGGATAGAATGCTTGTATGTGTTGTTCTATGTATGATTGGCAGAAATCTAGACTGAGATGGTTTTATATCATTCTGTATCACCCCACCTTCTCTGGCATTCCCTGTGGATCAGCGAGCTGTTAACATCCTGTCTCCATTGTCTAACAATGTTCTGAGACTGATGTGCAAATAATAAAAAAAGGCTCTTCACTGGTCTGGTTTGTCCAGTGTTGTCCATATCTGGATGTTTTCCTGCGGCAAGTGAGTTCCTTTTTAAAGACGTGGGTTCCTGACACAATTGGACATATATTTCCCCTATATACCTGAATCCCACAATTTCCCTGTGTCAGACTGCTCTTGCTGCACTGTATACCTCTATGAGGATCATTTATATTTCAAAAAATTTTCTAAGTGTTGCCAGTGCGGGAAATTGCAGAGTGTGATAAAAACTGGTGCAAGGGCACACCCAGATCCTGATCCCAGTTTCTCAAATTCAAAACGTGCTCAGTGGAGATCTCAATTGGAGCTGCTCTCTGAAGACAGTACATCTCTGCTCACACCATCAATCCATTTTTTAGTTCTCCCTGTGCCATAGGATCTTTGCAGTGATGGCTTGCTTTAACATCTTAATTTATGCTGCAGCACACTCCAGTGATACTTCTGTTCTGTTGGGATACACAACAACTGCTGAACTCATAATGGTGAAATAAATTCCAATACACTGAATACAAACACTCCCTTTGACTTGAAGGATTTCAATTATTTAGAGAATCAGCTAAACATGGATAGCACTTTTTTAACTGTCAACTTTTCCACATTTTTATTTAACTGGACTTTATTTTCTTTTGTTTCTTGTGAAACATAGTTGAGAATATCTTCTAGAGAGAGGAAAATATTTGACTTGTAACCATGAAAAGCCCATCTCAGAATCTTTTCTGAGCTGAAACATTCATTGAAACAGGGCTTGCTTTTAATGTGAAGATATGGAAAACAGCTTTTATTTTTACTGCTTTTGAATGACTGGTACCTATTTCTGTATTGACATCAGCAGATGTTACAGTGTGGTTCTGTCTGGCATGCCTCAAAAAATGTTTAGCAGATGATGGGCAGGAAGTTCTTGTGTTGTAAATGTTACTAGAACATGACCCAAAAAGAGCATTAAAGATGGTAGTACATGATTGGCTGTATGCATATGTCTACACTTTGCTTCCCTAGGGCATAATTTGGCAAGATATCCCTTCACCATTCACCTCTTCCAAATGGACTTCAAGTTGTAAAAATAAACCCATTTTTGTTCACCTTTGTACCTATTTCACTTACTCAGTTTCATTGATGCTGATGTAACCCAGGAGGCATGCCATTCACTTCTTCAGAGTTTATTAGATTTACAGGGGTAAACTCAAGAACTTGGCCTGAGAAAGGATTAGATTCAGAGCAGGCTGGTTACCTAATAAATAAATCTGCCTTCAGTTTATTTTTTTCTCAGTTAGGCAGATACAAAGAAATCTTGCAGTCCATTGTGTACAAGGTTTGGTTTATTTTTCTATTACCATAAGAAACTCTTTTCTTCTTTACTGTTTCTACTGTTTCACAATGACAGAAGTCTTAATTTAAATTTTTTTTTGAAAGAGCTAGGGATCATTATACACCATTGAAATTAAAAACAAAATTCAACAGAAAAACTCAAAACCTGGGGAGGTGAAGGCCTTTTCTCACCTTATGCAATATGGACTTGATGTCTTAGACATAAAAGAGAAAAAATTACCTTTGAAAAAGGCAAACATGAGTGGGAGGAAGCCATAGAAATCAGACTTGGCCAGCCTGTACAGCAGAACAGAACTTTGTGGGTGTTCATACTTTCCTGCACCAAAAATGTAATCCACAAAATACACACCAGTCCCTGCTCTCACTCCAGCCCTCACTCCTGTTTCATCCACCCCTGCTCAAGAAGAGCAAACAGAAACACCAACTGTTTCAGAATAGTAGCACATTTCAGAGTGACAGAAGACAGCAGATATAATGTAGAGGGGGAGGTTGGACTTTGTGAAAAAAACTGCAGGGACCAGCAAAGCTGCTTTTCTGGGATGACTTTCAGTTGTTCTAATTTCTAGCAGGAACAACAAAAAGACATCTGGAGATGTTTGGCTGGTCCCTTTTTGCTGGCAAGGTAACTCATCTGCTGAAATTCTTCTCCCCCCAGTTTCTTATGTAATTTGGTTTTAAGCATTTTAATTTGCCTGCCTTCATGTAGTCCTCAAACCTGATTCTTTTTACAGCAGAGCCCCTCTGCATTTCCTTGGCTTCACAAAGGGGATTTATATTTTACATTTGCATTGATCTGAAGGAATCCTGTACCATCAGAGTGCGAAGAAAAATAGTTTAGTGACTCTGAAAATCTGCCTCCATCCACTGTATCTGGTTTACATAAGATCTCTGGCACAGGTGCATTCCTGTTCTCCAAAGCATTCACAGCTGTAGTGTCCTCAGTGAAAGAGCTCTGAACTCCTGGAAAAGCCTGAAGTGATCTGTCAGTCCAGAAGATTGCTGAGGCACTTTCACACCTAATTAATTGTAGTGTTTTTAAGTTGGGATCACATTCCTGCATCACATGGAGTCCACGTGTGAATCACATGGAGTCCACATGTGAGCACACGAGGCTGCATGACTTGGCTTTCAGTGATTTAGAAACAGATAATGTGGAGTCAACATTCCGTAATTTTGGAACATACAAAGTCTTTTACTCACTTGACAGGCCAGAGAAGAACCTGAGAAGCAGAACTTGTGAACTTTGCCTTAACACTGTCTGGATAAAGAGCCTCTCTATTTCTGCAAAGCCATTGGTGCATCCAGCTTGCAGTGCCTTCCCATCCCTTGGAGTGTCCAGCTCCTTGCTGGGTTCATCCTCTGGATACCTGGTTATCATCTCCAGCTGGGGAACAGAGCAGTGAAGGCTGCTGCACTTAGCACGAGATCATAGGAGCCCCTGCTCATTACTGCTTCTCAGGCCACAGGACTGTTATTCCTGTGCTGCACTTTAATAAGCCAGGCTTTTTCTTTCTGATTTATTTTGTTTCTGGTTTCCTTTTACCTTTTTTTCCTCCTCCACATTCTTATGATGAATTTTAGTAACCTCTGAAACAGTGCAAGATGTGCTTTATACCTTCTCAGCGATGTTCCCTTGCTTGTTCTGCCCTTAATATAGATTTTTCTGTTATTTGTTTTTTTTCTCAGGGGGATATGCTGAGTTGTATTTTGCTCAACAAGAAGCAAAGAATGACTTTTCTATTTTTTTCTGTTTGTTTGTTTTTTCCTTAAATAAATTTCAGGGTATATAAGGAATTAAAATAGGTCTGTGTATGCCTTCCACTAGGGAGATACAGAAAGTAGAAGCACTTTAACTGGCAAGAAAATGGCAAAAAATCCATGGTATGGATGCAGCTGTACTGTAAAAGTACTCTTTGTTACCAGTAAAAAAAGTAATCCACATGACCCACAAGGAAGGCTCAAATCTGTTGGTTTATTGATTTTGTTGGGTTTTATTTGTTCTGGGTTATTTCATTGTTGTTGTTGTTGTTGTTTGTTTTGTTTTGCTTTTATTTTTGGGTTTTTGTAATGTATTATTCTATTTATTTTATTCACATTAGTTGACCTCCTGATATTACTTGGGAAAACACACAAGTTAAAAAAAAACACACATGAAAATTGGATTTCTGTGAAAACAAGATGAGAATAGTTTTACTTAGCAAAATAATGAAATTTCAGTAAATATAAATCTTGCCAGGCAGATATGACATAGTAAATGCATGTGGCTGCTATTACTTGTAAGAATTGTGTATAAAGGAATGTCAATATAAAAATAATAATGCCTAAGAAAGAAAAAAATAATTTTAGTGCAAAAATCTTACCTAATTTATCTAAGAAACTGAATTTCAAGAATATTTCAATATCTCAGACGGGAAGATTAAGAGTCCAATTCTTCAAGGACAAAAGAAAGTATTCAGAGTGCCAGAACCACCTTTTTTTTTTTTTTTTTTTACTTCAGTCAATATTCTGAAACATTTTAATCTATAAAAGTCTAATGAGATATGATTACGCTGTTTTCTTGCAATCTAAATAAGGCAAAGATTATGTTTATGTCTGTTTAGCAATTAGGTGTTTTCTTCTAAATTTTTGCCCATCTAAAGCCTTGACTCAGTTGTTTCTCATGCTTCTGATATTGTCTAGTCCTAGAAATTTCTTAGTCTAACTAAATTTCCTGTATTGCTTTAAGTATTACTGCATGCATGCTAATTTCCTACTCTCACCCATTCTGTCTGCTATGGTTGTGATATACAGTTTTCTTCACAATTATTTAAGATGAAGAATTAGGATTAAATTCTGGATACACATAGGACCTTCCATAGGCACAGCTGTTCCAGTGAGTAATCACATGCTCAGACCCAGACCAGAACATCTATTTCAGCCAAAACTTTTCAGATGAGTCTCAAAGTCTTCTGATTTACCCTATGCTAATTTAGCCCACTTAGCCTAACAAGGATTTAGCAAAAATCAAGCACTTCATGAATTGACTAAATTTAACACATCACCTGTTTCAGAAATGAAGTGAAAAATCACTGTGACAAAGTGTCAAAAATTCCACTAAGACAGCAGGTGTTGTGGGACCATGACCACCCAACCTTGCCTGTGTGGCTGATCAGAGGGTGGGTTTGCTGGAACTGATTGAATTGAGAAGAGTTTATAGAGACAGGCTGAGAAAAAGGCAAGGAATAAAGAGTTCTAATTAATAAAGTTAAATTAGGTAAATACTGGGAACGTTATTACATTTCTTCCACCTAAGTCCACACCAGCCTTAGGAATGTCCATCCCCTGAGATCTGTGGAAGTCAGGGATAGGGATATGAGTCATCCCTGCAATAGGAAGGGCAGATGCTGGCATCCCTTGCCTTGCTGATGGAAGTGTTTGCTCTCTTGGGCTAAATCACAGCATTGCTATTAGGGCTGTGCACAAACCAGGGGAACTTTGCTGCTCTAACATACAGTTCTGCTTGGGCCACTGAAGCACTTGGAAGTTTGATAAATGCATAGGTTCTTTATGCTGTTTGCAGATGTATTTTTATCTTTATTGCACTCCAAAAAACCAAAATATTTAATTCATTTTAATTTATAACAATGTGGTGTGGTCAAAACTCATTATTATTCTAACCATTAATGTTGTGTGGCCTGAAGAAATGGGATTATTTTCCTCTGGTTACATAATTTCAAGGTCTTTCAATTTTTAAAGGGGTAGCTCATACAGGTGATAAAATCTTTGATACTGCAACGTTGTGTTTTAGGGGACCTCAGAAGATGTTGCATAAGTTGCATGAAAGGATTTGATAATTTCCAGCAACTTTATTGTTCTCCACCAGTTGTTAATAGTCTTTTTGACAATCATCAAGGAGATCTACAATTAGAATTGAACAAACTAACACTTTTACTGAACAAAGATTACAAGAACTGAGAGTCTGAATGGAGATACCACTCAGTATCAGAGAGTTCTAGTTGTTATTAATTTACCATGCGTTAATGATGAAGACCCATTGATTTCAAATTTGCTTTAGTGGGGAGAATAAGAACATGCCTTTTCAACAAAGCTCAGAGGAAATGCAAAAATAAAGAGTTCTATTTCCTCTCTAAAGCCTAGGAAAGAGCTGTGGTTTCCAGGATAACTACCGCTGTCCCTTGGCAAATGTTGGTGCTGCTCTAACAGATGCAGTTAAGAGTACTGGAATAAAAAAATCCATTGAGTAAATACTCACCAGAGATCCCTGTCCCTAATTCCTCTTTTCTTTGGAGGGAGCTGGTCTTCCTAGAGAGCAAGGGATCTCCATTGTCCCTGAGTTCATGGACAGAAATATTTCTTGCCAGTAATTGAACTGTAGCTCATGTACAAGACTCCTCTGAGCCACACGTGCGCACTGAGAATCCCAAAGCAGGTCAACAAGACCACAGATGTCACCCAGAACATTTGGCATATTCCGAGAAAGTGCTGGAAAGAGAAAGAAATACAGCTTTTAGCTGATGTGTTGAGATAATTATTTGTACAAAAATAACTTTCAAGCTGATAAGATAAATAGCAAGATAATTATTAAACACTTTGTGTGTGTAACACAGACAGACAGACAGACAGACAGACAGATAGATAGATAGATAGATAGATAGATAGATAGATAGATAGATAGATTGCAATAATGATAGATGCTGAAGGGAAGAAAATCTATTTTCCATGGGATCCATAAACACCAGGGAAATCTGTGAACCAATCACATGAAAAGAGATCTTTGGTATAAAGGTGAATGGAAGCAAGGAAGATTTCATGCCTGTGGATTATCAGGTTTTTAAAAATGAAACCCATCTTTATCATTATCTTAATACAATAGGAAGGATATTAAAGGGTGGTGATGATATTTGGTATATATATTTGGCATATTTGGTATAAATATTTGATAAAACCAAATGTTTTCCTGATGGCACTCAATGAACTAAAATATTCTCAAGAATGATAGAAAGGAATTCCAAGAGAGGCAGACTTCCTTAGTCAAAGACCATGGTTATATTTGTAGTTTGGCTACCATTGGATATTCCTATTGGATATTAGAATTCTAGTGTTTCTCCTTAGTTTTAGGAATGCAGTTGTGTCCCTGAGTGGTGCAACCTATTTTCCAAGTAATAATGGAAATTAACTGCCTCAGCCATAAGAGATTTCAGATTTGCTGTCATGGACTCCTTTGGACAAGACATCCTTGAGAGTTCCAACATCAGTATTTAACAGAAGGGCTGTGAAAAAATCAACTCTGCACATTTTAGATGCATTTATGTGTGTTATTTTTTGTGAGAGGTAGAAGTTCATTTTGCCTGTTAATTAAATGACCACCCTGTAATGGCTCTATGTAACTTGCAGGTAAAGGAAGAAAGGCATCTCTGTGCAACAGAGCAAGAAAGGGTTTTACTCTTTATTTCTCCCTCTAACCACTACACCATGAGCCTGCCTATTAGGAGGGAATGTTTAGGTGGAAAAGTGATAAGGACTGGTATTGCAGCTTCATTTTCCTCTTCCGCACCCTGTTTAGATTCCAGGTATGCTCAGTTGTGGCAACAATTTTGTCTTTCCATAATATTTACTCCTCCCACATAGTGAAACTAAGATTTGAGCTCTCTACAAGACAACTTGTTGAACCATACCCATATTTGACTAACTTTGGTGTCTTGCAAATTGTTTAAGTGAAAATTGCCTGTCAAAGATGGGCATCCAGTCCTTTTCATTCCCCATGACTAGAACTGTTACCTGAGAGAGAGATTTTGGATACAGTGTCCAGCAGTAAATCCCACCCTGCAGTAAAAATGATGCTAGATTGGAAAATTCAGAAAAAGGCTTGTGGGGATGATTAGAGATCGGAGGATTTTTCTTTTTTCTTTTAGTGAAAAATTTAGAAAGCTGAATGTATTCTGTTTAAAGGAAAGAAGTAAGTAGCAGATTTAATCAAAGTCCAGAATTACCAATAGGGGTGGATATTTCTGATGCCACCATCCTCCTTAATCTAGGAGAGAGAAGTTAATAGAATCAGTGCTTAGGAGATAATACCAGACAATAAAATTTTAGACGCAAGGCTTAACTGCCAGTACTGAGCAGGAAATGATGATAAAACCTCTCTTATTTTGTTGAGTCTCTACATTCATTCTTGGTTTGAAAAATAATGGTCCAGAAACAGGAATTCCAGAGTGAAAATCCATTGCTTGTGTTGGCCAGGAGCTCAGTTCAGATCAGTCCTTAAATTCACAGCTCTCTGAAGTGAATCATGGGTCATTTGAAAAGAGCCCAAGGAAAAGAGCACAGAGGCACAGGACAAATGTGGAGCTGGAAATGAAGAGCAGAGTGAGGTGATATACCCTATATCATATGTGGGTGGGAAAAATCAAAAATAAAGGACAGTCTTCCCCCTGTGTCAGTGTATTTCTATATTTATTTGGCCACAGAAACTATTATAGTAACTAGGACTTATCAGGAAACTGCTTTTTCTTTTTTTAAAACTATTGATTTTTTAGAAATAGCAAGCAAACAACTGAAGACTATTTCAAAAGCTTTGGCTAAAACTCAAAACTTCTGATATCACAGGATTGCAGTTTGCAGTCATTGTGCCCTCAGCAGTTTTTTAATTCCTTTTTTTTCCTGATCAAGGGTCCCACTTCACTTACTGTGCTTTTCTTGCTTTTCTTCTGTTCTTGTAGAGCTGCTTTAGTGTGTCAGGAGAGCCCCACAGTCAGAGGTACCATGTGAAAGATGGGTACAGGTCAGTGAGCCTGAAAATAGAAAGAGAATAAAGGAAGGGAAGTAAATAAACTATGACACCAGGGAGCAGATTAGCAAGGTTTTAATCAAAATTGTGTATTCCACTCACCAACATCCAGATTTCTTCTGAACAGGTTCATTTTTAAATTAAAAAACCTTATCCAAAGCAAAACACAAAATTTTCTTTTCCACACAGAATACATACTTTAAAAAATGTATGAATGTAACAAAAAAAAAATTTCTTTCTTCAGTTTCAACAAAAAAAGTCAGCAAGCTATTCTAATGACTGTCACTGGTAAAACAAAAATCATAATTTCAGTGTTTTATCATCCAAAAGCCCAGTTGTTTATCTGACACGTCTCTGAGTATTTGATGGGCACATTTTAAATACACAGGGTCTCATAAAAATAATATTTTCATCTCTGAACTTTATTATCAATCTTCTTGCTTACTTTTACTCATCGCTTTATAGCCAAGATCAAGAGGAAGAGAAACAAGTAAGTAAAAGAAACTTCTGTTAAAATTATAAGTACAATTCAAAAATTGAGGTTACTTCTTGTTTTATGAATATTGACTGACATACTTCAAATAAAGTTATCACTGTGAAAAAATTTTTAAAGTTTTCAAGTCATTGTATTCTTATATAAAATTATACAGTTATAAATACAAAAATCAAATATATATTATAAAATATATATATATCTCATGATATATTTCTAGATTCTATTAAAGATATAAAAATTTAATTCTTATGACATTTAACGATTTATATATTAATTTTATAGTAATTTCAAATGTTACTTTTATCAAATGGTACTCAGATTAAATATTGGCATACCATTAATGAAACTGTTCTTCATAAATTTTGTTGATATTACTGTCAGCTGGGAAACTTGTAGCTTGATTTAATGTGAAAAATATGGCACTTAAGTTCCTGTGTGAAGAAAGTTATTAATGACTGGAGAGATTCAGGTTTCCATGACAACATATTGCTGTGCTGGATCAAGTGGGATTTTACAATCGTAAATTGTTTTAACAATTGAGTTCAGCATGAAATAGGACCAAGGTACCACCAGGAACTGCCTTGACTCTGCTTAGGAATTAATAGAATCATAGGATCATTAAGACTGGAAAAGGTCTCCAAGGTCATTGAGTCCAAATTTTGACCTAACACCAACACCTTAACTAAACCACAGTTTCTGAAAGAAGAAACCAACCCTCAGCTGCCTGCAACCTCTTTGCAGGTGCTTGTAGGGAGCAATAATTTCCCTGAACATCCTTTCCTTCAGGCTGAATGTCACTGTCATATTTTCTGAAAAATCCCATTGCCAGGATTTCTTCTCCTGGGAAGCTGAGAAGCCTCAGGGAAAAAGAAAAAGAATATTATCTCATTTGCTTCTCCCTGTTTTTCTGCTTTGGAATGTGGTTTGGAGATTGTTTATCCAACAGGTGAATTGTTTTTACTTAATGACCAATCACCATCTGGCTGTGCCAGGACTCTGGAAGCAGTCACGTGTTTTTCATTATTATCTTGTTAAGCCTTCTCTAAGTATCCTTTCTCTATTCTTTAATATTGTTTTAGTATAGCATAATATAGAATAGAATAGAATAGAATAGAATAGAATAGAATAGAATAGAATAGAATAGAATAGTAAATTAACCTTCTAAGAACATGGAGACAGATCCTCCTTCATCCTGGGGACCCTGAAAATACCACAGCTGAACATCCCCAGCTCTCTCAGGCCCTTCTCACATGATTTACCCTCCAGATCCCTCACCAACTCTGCTGCCCATCTCTGGACATGCTCCAATAATAAAGGTGCAACCCTTGTGCTTCCTGAGGCTCTGCAACAGCAGCTTCACTTGCAGGGCACAGACACTGCGAATCCATTTGCTTTTCCACCTGGGACAGCTCTAAGACTGGGACCCAGCATCACCTTGCTTTGGGACATTCTGTAACAAAACACATTTGAGTATGGGGGTTGTTCCGATATAAAATTCTGGCACCATTTCACACTAAGTCCTTTTCACCTCTCACTCTAATGCTATATCTCTTTGGCATTTCAATTCTGGATGCTAAACTGCAGAAAAATGCAATCATCTTTGCAAGTGGTGAAATATTTTTTAGGTCCTTAAATCTCTTTTGCTATCTGGATAGTTTATTATCTTAGTTCTATGTGTTCAGTCTTGGTTTTCCCTCTTAAATACCTTGTCTCCTCAACACCTTTCTCCCATAGTATATTGTCTCAGTTTGAGACAAATTAGAAAGAAACATCCTGAAAGGAGCATCTCCTCTGGGCATGAAGCAGATGATAAAGGATACAGTACCATAGTCACCCCAAGACATATTTATCTGCAGCTTCCTGTGATGGATGCAGCTATTGAGGGAATTAATGGAGGCAGGACTAATGAGGATGGAACCAGTAATTGTGGTGAGACTTTTTGTGACAGCAAATGTGATCGTCCAGATTTCCCGGTCCAAATTTACAATTACCAATTGACTTTATGTGAAATTCACTTAGGGCACCTTGCTATTTCTATGATGTTTTCCCTCTGTCATGCTTTCTGTCTCTTATCTACTTTGATGTGTCTATTCTGGGGGTAAGTCTGTCAAGGGCTGGCATAGAGACAGCCACGTTTAAAATGGGAAATGAGAAATCACCACAGCATGGAGGCTGAGCTCAGTTGATGGGACTCAGAAACATGAACATCCTAACACAGTGTTAGAAAAAGGAATGGAGACCACAGTGCAGGTAATTTACTTCCGTGTGTCTCCATCTGACATAGATCATGTTTCTCTATTACATCTATCAGAAGGAATCTCCTGTCTCAACTAAAGACTGGAAAAAGCTACCTTTGTAATATGAAAGTGCAATAACAGTGTTCTTCTGAATTAATTCATGGTTGTATTATATTCAGAAAGTAATGTTTGAAAGCTTAAACTATTTAAACTATTTAAAACTATTTAAACTATTATCCACAGATTTAAGATTTCTGCTGTGTTAAAATTAAACCAGTTGCCTTAAAAAAACCCAAAAACCAACAAACTTAAAACAAATCAACAAACAAAAAAAAGACTTTTAGAAAACCAAACCAAACCAAAACCTTTCTCCTGAAAATTTAGTTTCTTAGCCAGGAATAAGGCAAAATTCAGGGCATTATTCTCCAAACAACCATTTATGTAAGGAAGATGGTTTTATCAAAACACTCTTCTTGTGAGTATTAAACACATTTTTGCATATTATTCACTCTGACAGCCCAGGCCCATGGGGTTCTTCCTCACCTGATGTGGACCTTGAGCAGACACGAGGCCACTGTGTCAGTTCCCCGCTCTGGGAGAGAGCCCAGGATGGGGAGTCCCGTTTACTGCCGCACATCACTGCAGCAACAGCTTCTGGTACCAGCCTGATTCTACATGTCATTAAAACCAGTGGTTTGGGAAATTGGAGGGTGAAAGAAATTTTTTACAGAGTGTGAATCCTTTCTGCTTCTCCTTGTACCTAAGTTTTATTATCAAACAGTTCAGTGTCCTGCCCACTTTTAGAATCTGTGAAGGAGAGGAACAGGAGATAACAATTCACCTTTTCTCTCTCAAACCCACTTTAGGATGGGATTAGTCATTTTTTACAACGTGCCTGTTGATCTACAAGTATTAGGAGAAACAAAAGCAATAGTTTAGACTAAATGTCAGGGTTTTTTCCAGCTACAAGTAATAACTAAAAAAAAGACCCTTACATACCTTGCTTTTCACATATCTTTTGGACATCCCTTCATTTTTTGACTTCTCTGATGGGAGAGGTAATGTGATACTAAAACCAGCCTCCTTATCAAGTGTTGCCAAATACAGAAGTTGATTTGATTTCTAAAATAATATTTAGTGATTTTGAGGCATGAGCTTTCTCACATTTCTCTAGTGGCCAAAGGCCATTCTTTTCATATTAACTCTGTATTTGAAAGAGCACCAAACTGAATTCAAACTCAACATCAGGTTATTAAACAAAAAAATATTATGCTGGAAAAGTGCTATTCTTCAAAAGCAAAATGTGCTTGACCTGTGAAAAAAATAAGTTATTTATATTAATTTGAAAAATGTTATTTTTTTCACAATTTTTGGGTGCTGTTTTCCAGTGCAAGTAAAATGGTAGTGAGATTCAATTAAAGCCTGATTTCATAGCTTTAAATAGAACAGGTCTTGTCTAGCTGTGAAAGTATCATTTATTTGCTAAGTGAGCTGTGTGTTGATGCACTGGGTGAAGTTAAAACATATTTGAATGTCTTTTCTGTAGCAGGTTTTTATGCTTATGTAGTAAATCCTATTCATAGAATCCTTTTTCATTTTTTCTCTCCGATTAAAAGGAAATGCTAAACACTGAGCAGTGAATGACAAAAGAAAGTAGTTTTATGCTAATGGATATCTAAAGCAGCACATGAGATAGAAACAATTGAGAACTACTGAAAATGAAGTCTCACAGAGATTATGCTAATGGAGAATTTAATTTTAAAAGATGAATTCTGATTTTTTTCCTACTGAAGTATTGTAATTGCTGTACAAGTGAAGCAATAAACAGAATGTAATGACATCCTATATTGTATAACTTAATAGTCTTTATAGTACATGAATTTTCATCTATAAGAAGACTGATGTGATCATTATAAATTAAATTCAATAGGATAGATATGATCAATATATGATCAATATATACTTGTGCAGAAGCTCCAGAGAACTGGAAGTTGCTTAATGTGCTGCCCAATAGATCTTTGAAGGGAGATTCCAGGAATTGTAGAGTAATGGTGTGAGACCCAGTAGTGCTTTTAATGAAGAGCAGAATTGATGAACACATGGATAAATAGTGGGTGTGTGCCAAGGTTTCCTTTGGAGAAGAAGTCAGCCCTTACATGCCTGCAGGGATATTTTAAAGAACCAAAAAATGTGTGCTCTTAATATATTTATTTACACTTGCCAATATATTTATCTCACCTTCCAAAAGATATTAAATAAAATAGGCATAAG